CGTTCGCGCGCACGACTGAAGGCCCTGGGTTCGAATCACGCGGGGCAAGGGCGTGGGTGCGCTTTGCTGAGAAGTCCCACAATAGGACGAAACGACCGTCAAGTGCTTCCAGGTTTTCAATGGTGATCTAACATCAATCGATTCATGATCTCAATCAATAATTTAACAATCTCCACAACCCCTAAACTGATAAAATCGATTCATTATCAACTATACAATGAAATACGAGCCTTCTTGGAAAGGTTCCATAGATATAGATATTCAGAAAGTCAGAATCATAAGTGAAGTTTCCAATTTATTTATTCATATTAACAAGCAATTACAACGAATGAATATATCAACAATTAATCATCAACAAGAATCCCATCCTTCACCCCCCAACAAATGATTGATTTCATTATGTATAAAGGTTTAATAGTATATGGCATATTGTTACAAGTAGCGTATTACTTATTTAATTAATAAGAGAAGAAAAAGAAACACATTCACAATAAGCATAAACATCCTATATGAAGTTAATATAGGCAGATATGAGTTAGTATGAGGATAGATGAATATCCAATCAAATCCATATTGATCCTAATGATACCAATAGTTGAGTAGTTGCCAATTAGATGTAATCCATTCACGAGTTGTTGTATATTATCAGCAATAATGAAGTCTTTGTTAAGGATCTTTTGTAATTTGTACAATAAAAGGCTGTATACGTTTTTTAGAAAGATACCTGAATAGATGATGAGACTAATGTATATACATATACATAGATATATCTATATATATCAATGAAGATACATATTCGATTAGAAAACGATAAAGTATTACAGTTGGGGAACTGTTGAAAGTGAAGACAAAAATAAAGTTCATTTTCGTTGAAGATAAAAGTGTATTGATTTCAATGATGTAAAGGGTTGAGATGGTAGAGAAGATTTGTAGCTCAAGTGGATGATTTTGATGGAGCTTTGTTCTCTGAGCTGCATGGTTTGTCATCCATCCAGTTAAGAGTGTATATGGGGGCAGCAGCAACAACAACAACGGGGAAGATTTGTTTGAATATAGCATACAATACTCTTTAAACCTAGTACGCAACAATACCATCATGTACTATCCCATTGTAATTGGTAGAATAGGTAACCTGAAATTCACGAAAACACAATCAGGGCATATGACATTAAATAAGACAATAATATTTATATTTTAATTTCATGATTTTATGAAGTTAATTAACAGGTAAAATCAATCAATTGTATATTTTTGGTCATTAAGTAGTGATCAATATATTATGGTTGTTTAGCCCTCTGGTGCTGATTGATTTCTGACAATTAAGTTGCCATGTTGCCAAGATGCCGCCAAATCCAATAGTACGGCCGAGGGTGGGGATAGTCAGTTCTCCCTCTCCACTGTATCCATCAACTCGGTTAAAGTACCGGACATTCGTAAACAACACCCTTTGGTGAGAAGGCAGGAATTCCTTGTCACTGGTTGTATACATGCTAGGGTTGAAGCTATCACTTAATCTGCGAACAAGAAATAAGACTCTGTGACTAAAGACCAGTAAGCTAGCTATTGATGCGTCCCAGCCCCGCTAACTACAGGGAGAAGTTCAAGCTTGGAATGGGGAAGTATATTCTGCAAAACAGCCAGAAACGAGCTATAACAACAAACACAATTCAAAACGTATATACACAGTACAAAACCGTCCTTAGGAATCGTTACAAAATAGCATACTAAAAGACGCAACGGACCAATAGCATTAAAGATACTTCTCAGTGGGAAATACGACATGAAGGTGACAATAGCGTTTTTGACGTGAGAACAAAGAAATTCAAATTTTCTAAATGAAATTACAAAATTAGGTCCTTTCTCAAGTGGGTTCTGGGAATCTAACGTTCCCAACAATACACGTGGTCATTTAAGAGCATTTCGAGTGGGAGAGCTGACTCGCCACACAGACCAAAGCACGTGGTTTTTAAGGGGCCACACCTAGAGCCTATGACCTGAAGGTCTAGTCCACAAGGCAGTGGAGCAACGTCAGATAAAGTCTCATGGTAGCCAGTTGACCAACAATAGATTCATACGCTATTTGTCCCTTAAGGATCCTGAAGCCTATGTGCACCATTGGTTTAGAATGAGAGCTTTCCATCTACTGGAGGTGGGTTTTCCATGTCCACTAACCCCGTCAAAGCGTCGAACATTCGCTTTTTGGTCTCTCAATTTCGTAAACAACAGTAATGCCGTGAGAAGACAGTGAGTAGGACTTCCGTAGCAATGACTGTATTCGAGTGGCCACGTGTGAGTATTTGGAGAGGGAGAGCTGAATCTCACCATCCTCGGCCATACCACTGCATTTGGCGACATCTTAGCAACATGGCAACTTAATTGTCAGAAATCAGTTAGCACTAGAGTGCTAAACAACTATAATATATTTATCGCTACCTGGTGACCAAAAATACAAAACTCACTGATTTTACTTCAGAGGTACCTCCAGAAGGACCTTTCCACGTTGTCAGTCAGTCAGTAACAACGTGGAACTTCGTGCGTTCGTACATCGGTTCAAGTTGACATTCCACATTGGCACAGAGATACAGTTGTCAATTCAAATCCCTTAGTGGTAGAGGTAGTAAGAATATAAGCAGTAGTCGGAAACATTAGGGTTGGAAGATGTCATTCAAGGAGTATAATCCATTGAAATGAATTTGGAAAGGGAAAAAAGAGACAAGGAGGATTCAGGAGATTAGAATTTAGGAGAAGAAAAAGAGTGGATGCACCTGTGCTATTGCAAACGATTTTGAGTCATATGATTCAAGGTCTCTAACCATCAGTTGCTATCATTTTGCGGATCCCAACCAGGTAGTCTACACCTGCCAACATGGCTCAGTCCATTTGTAAGTGACTTCATGGATTTGTGCCATGTTTTAATTTGGCCGTCCATAGCTTTTTCCAAACTACTCCTACACCATAAAACATCGCACGTCGGGACAGTCGGTGGTTCAAATTACGTTAACACATGTCCCAGCCATCTCAACTGATGAAGTTTCACTGCTTCATCAATTGATTTGCCATCCTTACTTAGAACTCGTTTCCTAACAATTGTATTACTTATTCAATGGTCCCAAGATATACGAGCAATGTTTCGAAGACATCTATGATCGAATACTAGTAGCCTACGAATATCCTTTACTCTTACTGGCCATGTTTCACTGCCATAATATAGGACGAAACGGACTGCTGCTCAGTAAACACGTCCTTTGTTTGATAGAGGGATATCTCGCCTACACCATAAATGACGCAAGTTGGCAAAAACTAGTCTAGCCTTCTGTATCCAGGAAATAATAACTTCACTCATACCTTTAACAACACTCAAGTTCACTGTCTATATTTAATTGAACCATCAATTCAACTATTATAATACTGTAATCTTTCTTTAATCTTTATCACTTCAATCATTTACTTCACTCATTTCCTTGACTCCTTATTCGTATAAACTACCATGTTTCATAATTGATTGATCAGTGGTTGAGGACCAATGTCGTGTGTGTCAAGTCCTTATTAGTACAGATCGAATGCTATCGACCATGATGCAATGTGGCCACCAGAGTAGCTGGCCCAACATTGCGTGCACTATTGTGAGATTAGATGGTGGTTGGGTGTAGTCGACAAGAAACCATGGACCCGAGTTTCGTGCTACTTGGCACCTGTCAGCAAAGTGTACCAATAATCTTGATGGAACTGGTGCTCCTGACGAATGTGATCCCGTGTCACCTCAGCATCACAGTTAGAGACGCTAGCACTAGGCTATCCGGACCGCGATTGACGTCCTGTAGGACTGACGTGTAATCACAACTGATTGGTCACTGAGTGGTGACCAATATCATGTATGTCAAGTCCTTCTAGTCCAGATCGAATCCTATCGACCATGATGCAATGTGACCACCAGTCCAGGTGACTCAACACTGTGTGCCCGTGTCTAGGGTTACCTGTCGACGACCTTCCACCACCATCTAACTATCATCTTTCACCTACATTCATCATCATAATAACTATGATCATATATAGGTGATAAATGGGAATTCGTATATGTTGAATAAACAGTAGAATTTCCATTTGTTCTATGTAATGATGATTGTATATGTACATCATGATTCAAATGATCATTTGTCAATGTTCCATTCATAGAACTATTCAATTTATTAGTTGATAGATTTGATGTATTGAATGAAGTAAATTTTTGTCCGATCAACTGATTATTATTATTATTATTATTATCGTTGTTTCTATGGTTACCAGTGTTATATGAGAAAGGTAGTGAACAGATTGGATTTGTATGTAAATGATTTGTGTAATGAAACGGATCATTATTAGTAGTATGAATAGTAGTAGTATTAGTAGTAGTATTGACATTTAGATGATCATTTATTAGTTGATGAATGATATTTGTATCTGGCCAAATTGATTGATTATGATTATTGATTTTCGATGAATATTGATATTTTTTATTGGTTGATAAACAACTAATTAGATATGGTTTCTTTAATGATTGATCATGATTTTTGGTTGTTGTTGTTGTTGTTGTTGATATGATGATTGGATGATTGAATTTTTGTTTACAATAAGATTGTATCCATATGATGATACTACTTATAATAATAATAATCAATAATATCATGGAAACAATCAATAAAATCCATAAAAATTGATTCTGATGAGGATGATTAGATAACCAAAATGTCATTGTTTTCTGATTCGAATGGATGATTGATTGATTATTGATTATCGATGGATTAAATGAATGAATTTTAATGAAAAATTGTGTTTCATTTGATGATAAAGATGGTATACCCATATCTTTAAGTGATATCTTGATATGATAGATCCCTTCAATAGGTGGATCATATGATGGATTCGTATCCATATTAATCATTATGGAATCATATAATGAATCCATGAACCAATTTGTATATAATTTACCATTCGATTCATTTAAATAAAAATATTGACTACCATTAGTCAATGGATTTAATTGATATAAAATAGTACCATTTAAGCCATGGATCATAACCTTTCAATTGGATAACGAATGTATAAATTGGTGTATTTGTATAAATCATTATGGAATGATCTTGATCTGAATCTGGATCTGGATCTGGATCATAATCACCAATAATACTATTATAAATAGGATATATACATATTGGTATATTATCATTTTCATCTAATATATTGATAGTTAAGGTATATGTTATACTATTGATTGATTTTATATTATTATCAGTATTATATGTAATAATTTGATAGAAAATTTTATTGATTTTTTCACGATCAATAATTAATTGATTAATCAATATTGCTTTCAATTCATATTCATTCATTAATTCATTTTGATTCATTTGTTTATAATGAAAATTGCTATCGGGTATAATTTTAATATACTGATTATATTGATTATCGATTGATTGGTTATCGATCGATGGATTATTGATCGATTGGTTAATAATTGACTGATTATTATCTAATAGTAAATGTATCATTGAATTTTTTGAATCTTTATCTAAATCAATTAAATGTATAAAATCAATAAAAGTATTGATTTTTTGATTTTCTTGAAAATCAATATTGATATGATTATTATGATATAATATTGGTAAATGATCATTAATATCGATTAATTGTATGATTAATTGTGTTTGAGTAGTGAAATTTCCTTTATCTATAGCTAATATAGTTAAATGAAAATATTCAATTTGTTCACGATCTAATAAGTGATTATGTAATACTGTAATGATACCATTTAGAGGATGAATTTCAAATGGTTGTTCATATTCTTGTGGATGTCTTGAATACTTCGAATGATCTGGATCTTCTTCATCATGATCATGATCAGGATCATGATCATCAATATAATTGAATGTAATTGATTTTAATTGATAAGTTAATTGTCCATATTCACCTTTATCTAAATCATAGGCTTTCATTTCAGTAATATATGATCCATCTGATAGATGTTCTGGTATTTGAATAGAATATTTGGATTGTTTAAATATAGGTATATTATCATTTTGATCAGAGATAGCTGCTGTGATACGAAATCGATATAGATGATTCAATAGATCCTTCTCATGGAAGTGTTGTAAAGTGAAATTTACTTTATTGAATGGTTCTATATCAGCTAAATCATAACAATCAATTAATAATGAAGCATATTGAATCTGTTCATAATCAAATATACCTTTTGTAAATATAAAAAATACAGTATCAGAGACTGGATGTAAACGTAAATAATCTTGACCAGCTAGAAGTTCTTTATCTTGAAGATGATTTGATTCTAATGAAGTTGGTTTACAAAGGATCTAAAAAGAAAAAAACACCATTCAAGAATCTTATATATATATTTTGATTGCGATTATGAACCCGATTGATGTTAGATCACCACTGAAAACCCGGGAGCACTGGACAGCCGTTTCGTCCTATTGTGGAATTTCTCAACAGTGCGCGTTCACGGGATTCGAAGCCAGGGCGCTCAGTCTCGCGCGTGAACGCTTAACCTACTGGACCACTGTTGAGGAGTCTCACGATAGGACGTAACGGCCATCCAGTGCTTCCAGGTTTTCAATGGTGGTTTAACATCAATCGGTTCATGATCTCAATCAAAAACTTAACAACCTCCAGAACCCTCAAACTGATAATCTTATATATTTTGATGGAGTTTTGTTCTGTGAGTTTGATGGTTAGATCGTGGAGATTTCATCGTTTCATTGAATGACAACATCGGCAGCACAAATTTCAAGTAGAAGTGAAGTGTTCAATTTTTTTCATTTATGATTCACAACTTGTCCTGTACACCTCGATGTTGATTGGTGCTTGTTGATTTTAAACCTACGATTATTTAATTCTTTGTTTTGGTTATATAACCCATTGGTTTGATTTTTGTTTCTACGTTTGTGCATTATTATGCACATATGGAGAAATTCGAACACTTCACTTCTACTTGAAGTTTGTGCTGATGACATCGTTCAGGAGTACGATGAAAGTACCACAACCAAACCATGCAGCTCAGATAACAAAACTTCATTGAAATGATCCACCTGAACTACAAATATTCTTCACCATCTCAATCTACTATATGTTAAGTTTTAGAATGATACTTGTTACTGGTTCAGCGTATAAGTTATAACATGTAGCTATTGTAGCCTATTATTACTTATTTACTTAATTACGCCTGTTACTTCTCGTGAAGGAGCATAGGCCGCTCACTAGCACTCTCTATCCAACCCTGTCCTGTTCATTCCTTTCTAGATCTTTCCAGTTGTTATTCATATAATACTGAATAAAGCCATTAATAATAATAATTAATTAATAAAATTAATAATCCTTTTCATTTCTGTTTCTATTTCCCGACGTAATGTGTTCTTTGGCTTTCCTCTTTTCCACTTCCCTTCAGGATTCTAAGTGGGGACTTGACTAGTGATACAGTTTGGTGATTTGCGTAATGTATGTCCTATCCATTTTCATCGTCTTTTCCCGATTTCCTCTACAGCTGGAAGCTGGTTTGTTCTCTCCCACAGAAGACTGTTGCTGATGGTATCCGGCCAGGGGATGTTGAGTATCTTGCATAAACAATTATTTGTAAATACTTGTACCTTCTTGATGATGATTGTAGTAGTTTCCCAAGTTTCAGCTCCGTACAGTAGAACTGCCTTGACGTTGGTATTGAAGATTGGTACTTTGGTATTGGTTGAAAGTTGTTTAGAGTTCCATATGTTCTTCAATTGTACGAATGCGGCCCTTTGCTAATCCTTACCTTTATGTCTGCATCTGATACTCTTTGTTCATCGATGATGCTTCCCAGGTACGTGAAGGATTCTACATCTCCCAGAGTTTCGTCATCAAGTGTGATTGGAGTGATGTTCTCCGTGTTGTATTTGAGGACCTTGGTTTTCCCCTTGTGTATATTGAGGCCAACTGATAGTAGCTTATTAATATGTGAACGTAATGATAACGGCAATTAGAGAACAGTGATTTATCGACTGAACCCACGACTTGTAAACCCGTACAAGCAGTAAAGATTCTTTAACGATGGTCTTTTGATTTTAATATAACTACAGTTAGTACCACTGATGCAGATAGGATATCAGTTGTTATAACCTTTGTACGTTTGTACTCCTATCAATGTATGATGTAACGCTACTGTCAATTAGAGAACAGTGGTTTATCAACCGGTACGAGTAGTCTAGATTCTATAACGATCCTTATTCCTGACTAGCCCTGCATGCTTATTGAGTCCAGGATATCAATCTCAGCCTCTGGGATATAAACACACATTGTACCATGAGATTGAAAACAACATTTAAAGATCTAACCAAATGTGGCTGTGAATGTGGGAAACTGTAATGAATAGACTGAGCATAACTCAAGAACGGTAAATCGTATAATAATAGTCTATGAGTCAAACTGAAGCTTATAATAAGAGGAATATGAATATATATAGTTTAGTTACTGGACAATTTACACAATATAAATATATGTATCGTATTGGTCCATGAACAGATTCCAATAGTTACCATCCACTAATCTCGTCGGGATAATAACAGCACACACAATAAGCAAATATGGATAGTGGCTAGCAGTGGAATCCACATCCTGGAACGTGACTCATAGATTCCACTACTAGCCACTATCCATCTAAGCTTATAATGCTTGTGAATTAAGGCAATATCAAGGTAATATGCATAGTATGCCAATAAGAGTCTGATCATTTGTAGTCATAAACATTAATTAGAAGATTCAAGTAAACAATACCTGGCGAATCCAATACATCGTAGTTGTTAATTAACAAAAGCTAAAAGCATAAATCACTAGAAACCAATTCGGTGAGTTCAAAAACAAGCGAACAAGCAAACAAACAAACGAAGCACTCAATAATGAGAACTAAATATCTTAGGTCCGACTTCCGGCACGATCATAAGTGCACATTTTTATTCTTTGTCCCAATTCGAAACTATGAGAAAACAACAACAACAACAACAATGACAAACATGTAAACTTCTCTTCATTTGCATCTATTTCATTATAGACACAGGATAGTGTTAATTAGTTTCGTAATACTTTCATTCATCTTAATACAAATGTTTATTTCTCATTGGGTAAACAATTTCCGGTCATCAATGTTATTGTTATAACTTCTTCTTCTCCTTCTTCTTCTTTTTCTTCTTCTTCTCCATCTTCCCCATATCCTTCTTCTTGATCTTTTATTAATAGAATCATTAATCATGTTTATCAAATAAATGATTAGTTTATTGCGTGATACACATTCTCCAGGTAGAAAAGTGTACATAGTATTGATCAATCTATGTATGAATCAATTTATCTATTGTATTAGTATTAAACTAATAGGTTGAAAGTCTTAGATTGTGGTTAAAGATAATCGACAGGAAACCCTGGACCCGGGTTACGTGCTACTTGGCACTCGTCAGAAATGTGTACCTATAATCTTGAGGGAACTTGTGAACCTTGATGTATTCGATCCCGTGTCACCCAGCTTCACAGTCAGAGACGTTATCACTGAGCTTTCCGGGCCGCGACCAAGCTGTTTCCTATCGACTGCCTTCAACCACTATCTAATATCACAATAGTGCACGCAATGTTGGGCCAGCTACTCTGGTGGCCACATTGCATCATGGTCGATAGCACTCGATCTGCATTAAGAAGGACTTGACACACATGACATTGCTCACCACCCAGTGGTCAATCAATTGTGATTACATCTCAGTCCTACAGGAGGTCATTCAAGGTTCGGATAGCTCACTGGTAACGTCTCTGATTGTGAAGCAGGCTGACACGGGATCGAATCCGTCAAGGAGCACCAGTTCACTCGAGATTGTAGGTAGACTTTGCTGATGACTGCTAAGTAGCAGGAAACCCGGATCTATGGTTTCCTGTCGATTACCTCCAACCACCATCTAATCTTCAACATCATTCATCGAAGATCCCGAACACGGGACACGAACTCAATATTTTCAGCATCCAAAAGTATTCATGTCTTATTTTAACTAATCCACGAAATTGTGCCACCGTCCACCATTGTCTTTAATGAGTTACTATCTCACAAGAGACACGGTTGAACTCCACTAGTCACGGTTTCTCACTAGAACTCCAGGATATTCATCTTGAATCCAGCCACTAGTTAGCACACGATAATTATTATCCGAAACGGTGTTTTGTGCAGATTGTAGTTAATTTAGTAGTTGAATTATTGAATCGATTAAAGTTAGACCAACTATGAAAAACTTGAAATCATTGGACGACCGTTTCGTTCTAGTATGGGTTCTCCTCCTCAGTGCATATTCGCGATCCTGCATGCAGAATTCACATCCAGTTTCTACATCTTTCACACACACAGGAATCGATCTCACGACCTGCGGTCTCCGAATGAGCCGATATTACTATGATCTCCACAAAAACAACCTCAATCTTACTCTTTCCACATAGTGATCACAAGTTTGGAAAATCATACCATTTCCACCCTTCTATTTTGTTTCTATTCTATTGAGAACTTTCATTCGAAATAATGTCTGTTTTCTAGTTTTAAAATTTCCTAAAAAACCAATAATAATGATAATCTATAAATTATCATAACAGCTGTCATTTTGATTCGTTTTGTTCACATGTATGGTTTATTCTGGTAAACGTTTCTTCCTTTTTTGGCAAACTTAATTTCTATGGGTTGGGGTTACTGACCCTATATCTAAGCCTCCTCCAATCTCTTTTTGTGTGGGCTTTGGATCGGTAATAGCTTAAGACGAGGGACAAGTGGAGCTGGTATACAGTCACAGATACTATATTATCTTGTTTAAATATAAATTGTTATTTAAGTAAGACGATGGATAATATAGAGCATTTTAGTTTGATATTAGATGATTGTAGGTAGTAGTAATAGTAGTAGTAGATGGAATGTATCAGTCAGACACGGTGTATCTACAATCGTCATAGGAGATGATACTAAACAACAACAAAAAGATTGGCGAGACTATAGTCTATGGACAAACTATTCAGAATTGCGATAAAAGGTTTTGAATTTCGGCGTGAAATCCCATATCTATCTTATTCAAAAATGGATAGTGAATAGCATTTAGATCCAAATCACGCGTTTTGTCTTATTTGTGACTCTTCAGCTGGATGTACCTGAATACCGGGGTTGGTGTTCACTCCGGGACACGAGCCCACTGCCGTTTCGTCTTATTGTAAGACTCCTCAGCATTATGTCAGCTCTATTCTGATCAAATTTTTTTTTAGGTGGCGAAATTGTTCAATGTTTATTATTAGATAAATAATTAATAGTAAATATATGTTTCTTATTTGAAGAATCAATGAATGTGAAATTCTTCCTTTATCTTTCCTTCCCTTACTCACACACACACCTAATAATTTCTCATTCTGTTACCCTCTCACACCTCATCCCCACCCCCAGTGAATGCATCAGATACACAAAGAAATGAAAATCATTCTATCCTAAACTTAAAAACGTACAAAAGATGTCGATCGTTTTGATGTCAACTCATTCATTCATTCATTCCTTCATTGAATTTCTTTAACTTCAATGAATCATCCTTCTTCTCACAACCATCACCTATTACCACCACCACCATCATCATCATCATCATCATCATCACCCTCATCACATACAACATTTCATTCATGTTGTACGATTTTTCTTGGTTTTGATTACCCTTTTAAACTTTTTTGTTCTTTCAAACGGAATTCCGTTTATATACAAAGTGTAACGATGTGAGGTAAACAAAGAAATAAAATTTTGAAAAAAAGGAGGTAACAGAAGAAACAGTATTGATAATCATAATAATAAGTAGAAGGAGGAGAAGAAGAAGAGGGAGGAGGAGGAGGGTGGAGGACAATGAGATTCTGTTAGTAACAAAAGAGAAAAGAAAAAAAACATTTCACACAATCTTTAGTCCTCTATTTCCCCCTTTTTTGTCACCAACACCACCCCTATTTTATCTCTATTTATTTTTATCAATTTTGTTTTAATTGCAACCATGAAAAAAGCAAAAGTTTTTTTGTAAGTCAATTCTCGTTTATTTTTTTCTCTCCGTCTCTCTCTCTCTCTCGATTTTGTTTATTAATTAATGAAGACAAAAGTATTGAAATACTCATATCATTTATAATAGACAAACATTCGAAGCTCGCGAGGGGTGGGATCGTGAATGCGCACTGTTGAGGAGTCCCATACTAGGACGAAACGGCCGTCCAGTGCTTCTAGGTTTTCCATGGTGATCTAGCTTCAATTGACTCATGATTTCAACCAATGAAAGATAAACGTAATATTGAAGAAATAACATCTCATATGAGCTGGATTCCTATTGCCTGTTATATGATCAATCAATATATTGATTATATTCAAAGATGGATATTAACTAGTAGTAGAGTCCAGTTTGATGATCGTTTTGTCCTATTTGCGACTTTTCAGCTGGATTCATCTGCATCTTGACGTTGGATTCGAACTGTGTACCATTCACTTCAAACACTATTGCGTTATCCACTTAGCTACTGAATTCTAATAGTCACTTTCTTGTTCAGTGTGGTGAAAGTTGAATTCACTTGGTATTATTATTCAGTTGAACGATTTATTCATACAACCAAAAAAAATCATTTTCTGTCTAGATTTTCTATATGAGCAAAAATAGTTTCACAACTATCTTTACATTCACTTGGTATTAATTACGTGAATCTTCCGATTGTTGTTTAGGACTGCAATTGATCAGTCTCTTATTAGCATATGTTCATCCTGTACGGATTGCCTCAAGTCACATAAGTCATTATAAGCGAAGATGTATGGTGGCTAGGAGAGGAATCCAGGACAGGTGATTCATTCTTTTTGGGACTCTTCAGGTTGGTATATCTGTATTCCAGAGTTTATGTTCATTCCATTATATTCTTGTCACTATTGTTAATATCAAAACAGTTCTACTGTATGGAGCGAAAACTTGAAGAACTACAGTTATCTACACAAAATACTTCATATCCATTGACCAGACACTATGCGTAACAACCTACCGTGAGAGAGAACAAACCAGATCCTTTTTTGAAGATCTGGTAGGCACATATTAAGGAAAGTACCCAACTACCTCACAAAGCAAGCCCTCACTTAGAATCCTCAAGGTTAAAGGAGAAGAGGAACACTAAATATCACATTACGTTGGAAAATAGAAACAAACATGAGAAGAATAAACAACAATTCGAGAGAACTAGGAAGGAAGGCGAGACTATAATTTATGGACGAGTCAATCAGAAGCGTTTGAGGGATTTCAATTTCATGGCACCAATTACAGTACCTTGATAAGTTTTTGAATCACCTAAAAGAAGAATATCCACTTTAATTTTTTAGTCTTTTATAATAACATTTTCACTTTATACTAACTGTCTTCTGATTGGCTAATATTTCTAAAGGTCAATCAAGATTCGTTCAAAGGTCGTCCATCAATTAGAATCTCACCGAAAGGAATGCTCAAGATAAATTAGATTGGATGAATGCTAGTCGGCGACCTTTGCTCCATGAGGAATAAGTAAGTCAGTCAGTCAGTCATGATGATCATCTAACTTACTTTCCCATGAGATACTTCATCTTCATCTTTAATATAAAATCGTATAATTGGTTTTGTAAATATATGTCCTTCTGTTATCGTAATATTCTCTTGTATCATTAATGTTGGTATATTATCATTAATATCTTTAATTTGAATAGAAATCGACGTTGTACAGGATAATGGTGGACTATCAGAATCCTTGACAATAATTGGCAACAAGAATTGACGTTCAGAATATACTTCATAATCTAATGGCTCATGTATTGTAATTGCACCATTGATTGAATCAATATGAAATTTCATTGTAATCAGACTATTTGCTAATGGACTAAATGAATAGATTAAACGACTATTCTCACCAGAATCAGCATCTGTTGCATTCACTATATAGAATGGTTTATTATCTAATGTTGTATTCTCTGGTAATATGATGTATTGTTCTATGATTGTAGATTGTTTAATCACAGGGGGATTATCATTCATATCTAATAAACGAACTATAATTGATAATGAACCAGTTAATGATGGATCACCTCCATCAATTGCATAGAATGTAGCATAGATTTCACGATCATCTATATTTTCATAATCTAATGATCGAAGAAGTATCAATTTCGGATTGATTGAATGAATATGATCATATGTCATAGTAATATTTAATCGAGGTTCTTTCACAAGATCTTCATTATTTGTATATTCAATGAGTTTATACATCACTATACCATTTAGTTCAGAATCTGCATCTGATGCAATAGGTAAACCTTCAAATCCACTTGTATCCCCTTCACGTATATAAATAATAAATGGTCTATTCAATAATTGTTGAGAACCACTTAATGAATCATATTGCATCATATTGGTCGACATAAAAAAACGTGGTGGATTATCATTTGCATCATTAATTCGTATATATAATTGTATCATCGTTTGTTGTTGATTAGATTCATTCAATTTTATCGAGTTTCGTCTCAATTCTTCTTCACCTTCCTCAGGAATACGATGATCTTCCATGAATGAATGATTCACTTGATTCAAATTATGTTTCCAATGAGTAGTCCATTGTTTAGTTAAAATGATATTCGCTTCAATTTGACATATGAGTAATGTACAACAATTTAATGGACCACATATATCATTTGTATTATCACGATCTATATGACGTAATGTGATGATATCACCATTCGATGTAATTTTGATATAATCATTGATATATTGAAATTTCATTGATGTAATGAATAAGTATGTATAGTTTCTTATAGAATTGAATGATAAATTTTCTGCTATATTACCAATTAATGAACCAGTTGGTGTTTCATCAGCAAGATCATAAATCATGATTGGGATTTCAGAACTACTTATAAATGATTTGAGTAGTAAAATAATTATAACCAAAGTAATTGGATAATAATGATAATGTTGAATCATTGATTAGTCTTCTTGTGAATGAATGTAATTGCTTGAGAAGTAAAGAAGTCAAATGGATAAAGGAATAGAATAGAGAAAAATAAGTGAGCAATCAATGAAAACTTTTTCAGCTCAAATCGATTGTAATTAGTGTCTATTGTTCGGAAAGCACAGAACATCATGATCCCACTAATGTATATAATATATAAGATAATATACCTTTGTGGGATAGGGTAATGTTACATTGGTGTTTTAGGAGAACCGGACACTGTTCAGACGTTCATGTGAAAACTTGTTCAGTATAGCTCAATCCCGCTTGATGGGAGAGAACGAGACACCCTATAGGCGTTAACGCCACAATTTGAATAGTACAGCTTAATTCTGTGGCGCAACCACACAAGTACACAGCATCCTAGTGAAATTTTCGCATCATTCATATGCACATAGCATATATATATGCACATATTTATAGTTATTCTTTTCATTGTGTTATATCCTCTCTTAAATAATGAATGGTAACTGTTGGGATCCATTTATGGACCAATGCTATACGTATATTTTTATCGTATTGTAGGTAAATGGTATTCGTGTTCCTCTTATCATAAGCTTTATTTTGACCTATGAACTATAATTTTATGATTTACCATTCTTGAGTTATGCCCTGTCCATTAATTACTATCTCCCTCATTCACAACCACAATTGGCTAAATCTTGTACAAATGTTGTTTCATATTTTGTGGTACGATGTGGTCCGACTGGTTGGTATATAAACCCAGTATGTTAGGCTGGAAGCAGGGCCAATAAGAACTCTAGACTGCTCGTACGGGTTTCATGCGTCATTTTTCCGATCGATAATTCACTGTCCTCTAATTGATAGTATCATCGCCTTATACATTAACAGGGCACATAGGCCACAAGTTATAACACAATAATTGTGTAAATCAATTATGCACAGCATGAACAGGCCAAAGTTGACCTATTCCACTTACATGACAGTCAAACTCATTAATGTCAGCAATGATGATATGCCTTACGATGTTCTTAATGACAATAACCCATGAGAACGCTGAAAAGCAACCACCAGTATGAATGAAATCGGTTAACCAGTAAACCAATTTTGTGTATGAACACTAAGCAAAGCTTACCAAAGTCATGCCGAATCATTCACAATATCAATAACAAACCTCCAGTCTCATATGAAACTTTCAGCTCTACATAGAAATATAGCTTATATTAATGTATACATTTGCTTAATTTGAGTTGAGTTCTGTAACTTTCTAAACAATAATAAATGAGCTAGTCAAGTAGCGAAATGTAAACAATATAGAAACAAGCTTAGATCCATTTCGACGTAACATGTCATATTTCCTGCCAGGAAAGTGAGCGATCAGTCAGACAAGATGAGAAATAGTTAATACACAATGATAAAAGCTCGAAAAGAAGGCTAAATACAGGTAATATGGCTTGAAAGGAATGAATGCAAGGAGAGATTGAATTGCATGGATTATCATCCAAACTAAGATTAAGAGAAGAACAAAAAAGCTTCAATGTGCAATTTGAACTAGAACAACTGATTTTTACAGTTGTAACTCTAAATTCAATCACGAAGCGACCACGTACGGTAACAGTGAAGCTCAATGATTGTATCTTTATGAAGATATCTATCTAACACCAACAAATAATGAAAAACACTAGACGGCTCTTTCATTAATGTCCGAGACTTCTCGGTAATCGTTATGTACTCGACTTAATTCAAGACTGAAACTATAATATTGGCCGGCAAGAGTACTTGATTTATTTTTTAACAATGTTGGTAGTTAAGCAGCTACTCAATGATAATTGGACTACTCCAGATATTGATTGAAATTGGAAATTTCAATCAATATTTGCACGTGTCTTGTTTATCATAAGAGCTGAAAACACTGGGTTCGTTTTTTGTAGTGTTATTTATGCACACTTATGACGGCTGATTCAGTAGTCTAGAGGCTAAGCGATTGCGCACAAGACCTATAGGTCCTGGGTTCGAATCTCGAGAGTGAGATCGTGGATTCTCATTGCTGAAGAGTCTTACACTGTGACGAAATGACCATCCAATGGTTCTAGGTTTTCCATGGTTGGTCTAGCTTACATGAAATTGTTACAATCTTCACAAAACCCATTCTGATAATAATCATTAGGCGCTCACTAGTGTCTGACTTCAAAATCATTTCCTGGATTGACAAACAATGATCCATGTTGGGTAGAGATAGATATCTACCTCAGACAGTGGATGGATGATTGTGCATCCATTCGTGGACATATTGAATTTAAACATTCACACCGTTGGATGTCGCACGGCATAGTAATCTATAGGTTAAGCATCCGCTTGACAGACCGATAGGACCTGGGTTTGAGTCTGTCATGCAGGATCGTAGATACCCATTGCTAAAGAGTCCTGTACTAGAACAAAACCACCATCCAGTAGTTCCAGGTTTACTCTAGTTTATCTTGACCTATAAATTCAACTATTAAATAATGGACTGTGTTTTAATGGTTTGTTGTAGAACCTGTATGACAAATACAGTTAATCAAAATCACGTAAACTACTTCATCAAATTAGATCTCAATGTATCAATGAAGTGTTATATACACTAACATATATAGATACCATTTATATCCATGATTTAAATAAACTAATCACTTTTACTATGATGAATAGATTCAATATTCAATTGTATATCATTCATTTCAATGTGTCATTAATCTCAAGGTCAACATCAAGATGACCTTAAAGTGAATGGATATTGAAATAGATTTGAAAACTGATGGCTTTTATGACTTTTATGGCTTACTAATATTAATAATATTAACGTGATGATACCATCAATTAGAGAACAGTGATTTGTCGATCGAATCTACGATACATAAAGTTGTACGAGCAGTCTAGAGCCCTTATGAATCCCTCTTCTTGACTAGCCCTGTCTACATCTTAAATCCAGAATGCCAATAATAGCTTCCACTATGAGAATCATGCGTTTTAAACATACTGGGTTTATATCCATCAGTCAAACAGACCATATCACACCACAAAAATAGGAAATGAAATTAGTCTTAGATGAAGCCAGATGTAACTATGAATGTAGAAAACTGTAATCAATCAACTAGGCATAACTCAAGAATGCCACGTTGTATCATCATAATTCATGGATCAAATGAAAGCTTGTAATAAGAGGAATATGAATATACATCATTTAGTGAATGAATAAATATACATTAGGAAATATCTGTATCATATTATACATTAATAGATCCTGATAGTTATCATTCCCCCCCCCTTATTCTCGTCCAGATAAAACAAAATCAGCTCAAGATGTATCAATAATTCAATGGATTAGTTGAAGCTAGACATTAACACCGTTAGATGCCGGCTATGTGGTCTAGTTGGTTAATCGCCTGGCGCGAGACTGATATGTTCTGGGTTCGAAACCCGTGAGTCGGGATCGTGAATGCGCAGTGCTGAGGAGTCCCTCAATAGAGAGTAATGACTGTCCAGTGCTTCCAGGTTTTCCATGGTGGTCTATCTTTAATTGACTCATGATCTCCACCATTGAAATTACTATAAACTCCACAAAACCTTTCTGATACTGAAAAATTTAATAATAATTCAATTAAAGGGAAAAAACAAAAACAAGAAAAAGAAAAAAGAAAAGAAACGTGTCAGAGATTTTCTCGATTTATTTATTTATTTATTTGTTATCAAAATTAATGATCAAGTTTAAAAATTTATTCTTTCTCTCATAATGAAATATTGAATATTGAATAAGAGAAAATTTTAATGAATGAATACACGTTATGTATAATGGTATTTGTTGATTGTTATTGAATGAAATGATCTTATCAAGCAATGCAGAAATAGAATATCACACATTGAACAGATTGAGTGAGTGAGTGTGTAAGTGAGCGAGCGAGTGAGTAAATAACTCAACATATGTACCACATAAATCGATCGATTTGTGTGTGAGCTGAGATACTACCTGGGTACGCAAACTGAAGCAGATGATTTTTTTAGTGTGTTACTTCCCAGAACCTTTGACCTAAAGAACTAATCAATCAAGCAGTGGAGTAAGTTTACGAGATGCAGTTGCAATGGTAGCCGGGGATCAATAAATGGTTCATACGCTATTTGTTCCTCTGAGTGGATCCTTCGTATCCAGCAACCTTGTTAAAGTACTGGACATTCGCTTTTCATTCTACCAATTTTATAAACAACAGTAATGCTATGGGAAAAGTCAATAGGATTTTTCTGGCAGTGGTTGTATACGAAAGGCCATGTGAGAGCATTTGTAGAGCGAGAGCTGACGTTTCCCATGCTTGAGTTCGCGTTCTTCATTCTCAGTTTTCTAAAGAACAGTAATGCTGCGAGATGGTAATGAGTAATACTCCACTGTCAGTAGTTGTATGTACGTGATCATGTTAAAGTTCTTCGAGTGGGAGAGCGGACTCTACTGACTGGCGACCGTACCAGGGCATTTGGGTGCAAAAACAAATACCGTTCGTAGGCTTTTGCTTAAACCGTTATTAAAAAACAGTGAGCTGATTCGATACTATACTGTCTTTCTGAAGTCATTTCATTAATGGATTTTCTTTATTTGTGGTTTTTTTAACGAAATAGCTGTTTTAAGACTACTTATTACAATGTTATAAGTAGTTGAAAAATCCTGTTGTACTTTTATTTTTCAAAACATCAATGTAATTTTTAATGGAAACTGAAGTATGAAATCCATTATTTGTGTACTCAAACATTGTTATGCGCATTCTATATTTGCAGGAGTTCTACACTATAGAACAGGTACCTTCAATCAGAAATCCGTGTAATGAACGAATGGATCATCAAGTATTAGGATAAACAGAAAATGTGGGGATTAGCGCTTTTTCGGCCAGTTATTTTTCTACGGAATGGAATCGCAAACCCTATTCCGAACCCACTTCCTTTATACAGGCTTGGGAACGGCAGTAGCGTAAGAGGAGCTCCAGGCGGAGTT